ACCTTCTGTGCGGCGGGCCCATTGGGAATTTTGTAAAAGCGCTTCTTATTGTCTGCCTACGCTATGAGAGGAATATGTATGGAAAATCTTATACTTCTAGCTGCTATGGTTTGGCCTGTGCGTTGATGGAATTTCACATTTATATATAGAGATAGATTATTGTTTATTAACAGATGATTTGTTTGTGTTAAAGTTTAATTTTGAATGAACAAAATCATTCAGATTTTTGTTCAATGACTTTTTTCTCTAATTAGAAATTAATTCTATATTCTCGGAATATTCAACATTTACAGGTGACTTCAATAAAATATTTGTTTATTTACATTCTTCCAATAGCTCCATAAGCCTAACATACAAACTTTTGCAGGCCAGTGGGGCTAAGCCCTAAGGTTAAATGTTAAATGTAAAACTGAATATGCCTATATGTTAATCAAGACAAAGACGAATCCAACGAAATCATTAAAATCGGTCCTGCCATTCTTGAGTTATAAGGGGTGTAACTAACACGACGTTGTTTTATATATATAAAAGATCGGTACAGACGTTCTTGGTTAGTACTACTTGCTGTATAAAATAGGTTTACGTACCTTACGTCGTCAATCCTTGAATAGTCTTACAAGCGACTAGTTTTGAAACTGGCGTTTCATTTTCAAGCTTTGTCGTCTCGTTTGACGACTACATCATGTTCCAATAATTTTATGTTAGACGACAAAGCTTGAAAATGAAATGCCAGTTTCAAAACCAGCCGCTTGTAAGACTATTCAAGGATTGACAACGCAAGGTACCTATATTATACCTATTTTATACTGTCTTAAATCAATCCTGGAGGCAATGCTGAATAAAATACTACTTGCTGACTGTTTGGTTGGAATCTAAAACAATTTATCGACCTTGACCTTATTAATAAAAAAATTATATGTAGGGTAAAACTTGTTTTAAATTGTGATTTGAAACATGAAACAGTAGCATGCGAGGACGTTTTTTTTTTATTTTTTGGGCAGAGAGGTTTCATCTGAGGCAAAAATGTAGCCAATAGTTTTTGATTCGTAAATATTTACGCTCAGTACTTAACTCGAGTTGAAGAGGAAGTGAAATTTAGCATTTCGCAACGCATGGAAAGAAACTATTTCATACGACGCGCCATGTTGACTGATGTTTACAGTTCAAGGACAAGAAAAAAATTAATTTATCATCAGCAGTAGGCCTACGTTTATATTACTTATAAAATATGTTTTAGTATTACCAGCTTACATTTTTCACACAATTAATAATAAATCTTCATCTATATTCTATACTAGCTGTTTGCCCATTCTACGTACGGGAATCTTGCAGTAAGTTGAAACCTTATATTCAGAACAGGAGTTGGTTTGCATATTTAGTGTGCATTTTTCCTGATAAAGTTGGCAAAACTATTACTGTATAGGAATACATATAAACCTTCGCAAATACAATATCTGACAGTTTCAAAGCCAAAACGAATGCTTCACAATTAAATGCCACCCGATCGTGTTAGTCCATATTTTATATCTAATGATAAAAGGAATTGCTTTATAGATCTATGAGGCATAGCCTATAGGTAGGCCTGTAATTTAAAGTTACTTTTCACTCTGAATAAAAGTAGATAAAATACTTCCTCGACCTCACTACTGCACACTTTATTCGGGTTGAAATTTTCATTAACAAAGGTGCTCCTGTCTTTTCCACAAGACGCTGAGAAGTTAGGACATTAGGGCGTTACTAACAGCCATACACACACAAAACAGAATTGAATTAGGGGATTTGCTACGCTTTAACCAAAGCGAATTACAAACAAAATTATTATTTGATAGTTTTAATAGTGCCATCCAATTTTATGATAATCGTTTTTAGGCCTAATCAAACTGTAAAATTGGTGTAAATCCGTTGGCAAATATATAAATAAGCAAATAAATACACAGTCCAGAAAAAATGTATACGTTAACAACGCCAAACTTAAAAAATTCGTTAAGCTCAAATCATCTTTCACTAATGTTTTATCATTTTTATAGCATAAACTAACATTTTGGAGTAGAGACAGAAAACGCAAAAATTATATAGTAAGACATCAATTAAATTTTATAAGAAATAAGGTGTAGCACTAACAATAACTGTAGTTGTAAATAGTTAAAAATGATTCTTACTGCTACCACCGGTTCTAAGGAGTAGCAGTACCAAAAACCAACGTTTACATTTAAGAAAAAAACTATAGTACTTTCGACCAATTCAAACTGTCCTTCTAATCAAACTGTATTATAGGTGTTAATCCGTTGGCAAATATATAAATAAATAAATACACAGGCCACAAAACATGTAACATGTAACGTTAACAACGTAAAGCTTTAAAAACTCACTATGGTTTGCTCAAAAAGCTTTCACTTGATGTGGTGCAGTACTGAAGTTATTAATCTCCTTTGGTTTAAATCTTTTTTAAGTTTTCGAAAATCAAAGTTATTTCCCATTAATAGCATTATTTGTAAGCAACTATTAATGTTAACATATTAATGTCAGTTTGAAGAAACCATCTATATCCAAACAAAGGTTTCTTATTTAAAAGATTGCGTAATCTCTAAACGATAATCGGTACATATATCTAGCAAACAGTTGGAGGAAATGTAACAAAAAACGCACAGTTCTGGGGTTTTGGACATTTGTAGTTTTACTTCCTAAGTAGGTAAAATACCGATATCGTTGTCGAAATGTAAGTAAGTAGAAACAAAAAGTGACACATTTGAAAAGCGAGTTTAGCTACATCTGTAATAAACCTCTGTTACGATCACAGCGAAATCAGAGAGATCTTCCAAGGTCGCAGCAACATCCACGATCACCCACTGCAGTTGTTATTTTTTACTTTGCACTTTACACAACTGTCCTTGAAGCGCCGTTAATAAGTGGAAACCTTTTTTATAAGCTATTGGTAACGATGATTAAAAAATTTAAGTTTCCTAGCATTGTACAACACTAATTCACGGCCTTTTCCCTAATTATCAAAACCCAAGAACAATCTTTGAACTTACAATGAATTAAACTGGGCACAACGTTTTTAATCTCACTTGGTTTAGATGTGCTTATAAAACTTGATCAGAAATGGTTGCGGTATTTGTAAACAGTATTTAATGTAAACATATCAGTGACAGCTAGCTAGAAGTGAGAACTAATCCAAACAGCTGATCATTATTTCATAAAATGTAATAATCCGTTATGCAAGTCAAAAGGTCAATTAACGTACTTGGTTCCTCAATGAATGGGTTTCGATTTGCGTACAAAATGTGATTGGAAATGTTGCAGTATTGGTAAACAAAATGTAATGTAAACAATTAAAAATATCAGTGACAGCTAGAAGTGAGAATTGATCCAAACAGCTGTTCGTTATTTCATAAAATGTAATAGTAAACATTAGGAGAAAACTTGACAAAAATCGAACAAAATTGTGTTTTTGATGGTTCGTTATATTTTTTCTGAAGTAGTTAGGCCATATTTTAATAGCCAAAGACACTCTCGCCAATCCAGTGAATACAGAAAAATAATTGGAATCTTGATCTGTACTCTAGTTTTCAAGGAGTAGGCCATGTAAAATGACATTTTGACGTTACAGACGGAGTCACAGAATGGACAAACGACAAACAGACATACAGACAGAAATTGAGATAAGACTCGTTTCGGCTTTCTTAGGCTATGAAACGTAAAAATAACCAAAAACTGCATGATTCTAAGCAATGTACAGACAAAACTGTAATTTTATTTATATAGATATATATAATTAATTCGGAAGGGGTTAACAAAACTCCTCCTAGAGTTTTTAACAGATTTTGACGTTTTTGGTGTCATTTTAAAGAGCTCACTAAAGTTTTGCCAACTATAAAATGGGCTCAATGTCTGGTAAGGGCTTTGCCTTAGTGGCCCTCATAGTTGCCGTGTTAACCTTATGGAATAATGATATTGAAATGAGCTGTTCATTTGTTTATTTTCTATTTGAAGTATTTTAACATAGTAAGTATTTTAACATTTGATTCCTAATTTGTTTATTTTTGCAATTGATTCATCAAACTTCTAAACAAAGTTAGTTCGTTGGGTTAGGCGATCAGTAATATAACTAACACTAATATACACAATTTTAAAGGGGTTTTCATAAAATTATTTTACTTAAAGGTTTTTTAAATTTGTTTATGTTTTATTTTGAAGTGTAACAGAGTGTATAAATAGGTAAACCCATCCTTGTGTATGAGTCTTCAGTATCAGCAAACACTTATGAAGTAAACTGCTTAAAAAATACTCATTATTAACCATTGAAGGAATTTAAATGTTAACATTGACAGGCTGCATGACTATTAAGACCCCCAAGAGTTTGAGAAATCAATGTTTGGCGGGATTCCTGTATTGGTCTTTGGTGATTTTAGACTATCATTGCCTACTGCACCACGTTATAGACACTATTTCAACAAAAATGTATCAAATCCATCGCATTTAGTGAAACAACAATAAACATGAGAGGTAAAAGTTAATTTTAGTTGTAAATAAACTCCATTTTCAACGTATTTCTGAGTTTTTAAAGCAAAGACAGAATGATCTTAAAATTAATTAGGAATACAGCAACACATTTCAGCCAGGAACAGCACGAGTGCATTATCAGATAAGGTTTATAAAAACTCATTTTATATGATGCTAAGAAAAGGTACTCTTCGTTATAAATGTTGTTTGATGTAGTACCTATATAGACATTGTTCGTATTGAAGTACTGATTCGTAAAAGCTTTAAAATGAAAATCATCATCGGGTTTTTGTGAGGATAGCAGGCTTACCTGAATTACTTTTCTCTTCAACTACCCTTCTTTCTTCTTTATCTCCCTTGGTTGAAAATGCTGACAGTAAAATATTCAAATGTCTTGTGTATAGTGTGTAGTTTTGTGTTTCTCGTGTCAACTGTGCCATTCAGTTAACCCTGCTTCCCTCACAACCATTTTTGTTGATAAATAATTAATTATGAACCTGATATTGCCGAATGGTGGTTCAGCGTATAAGAAGTGCAGCCAAGGAGCCTGGTACGCGGCTGAGGGCTGCATTGGGGGCCGCCAGCGTCGTGATGTGTTGCGACGAGGGAGGTTGGTGCGGCGGACATCTAATGGGGCTCCTCGCACCTGAACATTCAATAAGATAAAATTCAATTATATCAATGACAATGTAAAAGGAAGATATATCTTTTGTTCAATAAGATTAAATTCAATTATATCAATGACAATGTACAAGAAAGATATATCTTTTGTTCAATAAGATAAAATTCAATTATATCAATGACAATGTAAAAGGAAGATATATCTTTCGTTCAATAAGATAAAATTCAATTATATCAATGACAATTTAAAAGGAAGATATATCTTTCGTTCAATAAGATTAAATTCAATTACATCAATGACACTGTAAAAGGAAGAAAAATCTTTATTATTTACAGGTAAATTAAAAAATTATTGTTTTTTTTAACAGTCTAATAATTTGCAGTGATAAAAAGTTGGTGGGAAAATGCAATGACATTCTTTAATAACTGGTCTGAGTTACTGAGTTGTATCAAATTCAACTTAGTACAAAAAAGTAGAGGCATGCAAGTGATCCTACAAGCTTGAAAAATCAAGCTCAAAGTCGGAGAATCGAGCTCGAGCCGAGCTTAAAAAACTTAAAAGCTTATACAGGGTGTCTACTAAATTCTGGATAAAAAATTCATGGACAATTCCTGTACATTTAAGGACACTTTGTCATAACCTCTTTTGGTGCGATTACCGAATATATTTTCCTAAATAACTCCATCGGTCACGGAAACATTATGATATGATATCAGCTCTAGGTGGATTAGTTTGGCATGATTCGCTCTAGCATAGCGTTAAGTTCTCGACTACTTTTGGAAAAAAATCCTTAATACATATATTGTACCTTGGTTCTCGGTACAAAATTGGTATGGTAAGCGGCTACCAGTAAGCACAGAGTAAGATTATTGTCTTTTCATTTGCAAAGTTAACATCGACACATATACATCATTAGTTTATCTTGGGCTCAATAACATTTTCTTAGTATATTTTTTCAGCTTTTTGAAAGAATCAAAATACCCAGGCCTAGACGTAATTATTTAGGAGGGCCTATAAACTGAGTAACAAACAATGAGGTTATAATAGCAGCAAAGTCATTATCATCATTCTAGTTCATAAGATTTAGATTGCTTAAAGCATACAGCACAATAATGCCAATTTCCCTTAGGGTGGACACGGCAGTTGCCGGGGGCCTCGGCCTAGGAAGGAGCCTCACTTGGGGGTCTCAATTTTTTTTTCTTGGTCGCAACCATGGGAGACGAGATGATGATGATGATGTCTACATGGCGCGGGAGATGTTTATGATTTTGCCGCTATCGCGCAAGACGACGATCACATTTTCGAGATTGCAGTAGACGAAGATGACATTTACACGGCCACGGGAGAAGTTGATTTTAGTTCATGATTTTGCCGCTATCGCGTAAGATGACGAACGCGTTTTCGAGATTGCAGTAGACGAAGATGACATTTACACGGCCGCAGGAGATGGTCATTTTTGTTCATGATTCTGCCGCTGTCGCGTAAAATGACGATCACGTTTTTGAGATTGCAGTAGACGAAGATGACATATTTACATGGCCGCAGGAGATATTCATGATTTTGACACTATTGCACAAGACGACGATCACGTTTTTGAGACCACGGGAGACGATGATGACGTTTACACGGCCAAGGGCGATGTTAATGATTTTTCCGCTATCGCGCAAAATTACAATCACGTTTACGTGACTGCGGGAGACGATGATGATGTCTACATGGCCGTGGGAGATATTCATGATTTTGCCGTTATCGTGGAAGATGACGATCACGTTTTTGAGACCACGGGAGACGGAGAGGACGTTTACACGACCACGGGGGATGTTCATAATTTTGCTGCTATCATGTAAGACGACAATCACGTTTACGTGACCGCGGGCGACGATTATGATGTCTACATGGCGGCGGGAGATATTTATGATTTTTCCGTAATGCCGTAAGACGCCAATCACGTTTTTGAGATGGCAATGCCTTAATAATTTTATCTTGTGTTCAATACCCACACAATCTAACATAAATTATTAAGTTAATAATAACCGTGCGTGCTATCAACAAAACAGTTGGTGAAACTAAACATCTGCTTATTACTAGGTGAAACCCGTCGAAATCGACGGTTACTTTCAAGGATTGAGCTAATACATCTAACTGCGATAAATAGAATAACATTTAAAAAATTTCGAGCATTTAGTATTGTTTAATGAGCTATAAGTGTAAAAACAATAATGACTATTGCGTTAGTGACAACATATTTCCCATACCGCACGTTATCGGAGTTATTATTACTATGTTAACTAGTTTCTATTCCTTTCTTTGGAAGAACCTTTAAATAGTATTAAAATCATATTGGTGAATCTTTTGTGATAAACGCTTCCGCGATTTCATCAGTGTAAAGAAGATCAAATCAATGCTTTTATTTGAGAAAGAAATATCTGTTTGTTGAGAAGGCACGTTCTTACTTCAAAGGGAGGTCCAACCTTAAGCTGTGTAAGTTTGATTTTTACCTTCATCACATCGGTCATCTTAGCGTATTACTGTGCCAATGAATAATGCTCTAGCATAGTTTTGAGAAATTGGTCGTGAGGTTACTGTTAAAGCTGGAATTCCTGGACATGCGGATGTCAGTTGTCTCAGCCTTATCAATTACATAACGTTGTCAATATAATCTCTCTTTGGAAAGTTAGGTGTAGTAGAATTTACTTGTAGTGAAGCTGGCTTTTATTCGGGTATCTTGCGGCTTCATTGGTAGCAAATAGGGGTCTGCGGTGCACCGAAAAAGTCGGTACGGTATAAGCTTAATTACCGTCATCGGTCGGTACAGCCTATTATAATAATAAATTACTTTCAGTTTACTATCGTAGTCAACGGCAGTTGGTTCAAAGCACATAAAAGTCTTATCAGATGTTTGTTTACATCTTCATAATTTATTACTAGGGTGATGATGCAATAAAAACCCCATTAGCAGTCCCAAATCCATTAACATTTTATCACGACAATAATTGTTGTATTCAAGTACTTCCAAGAACTGTTGAGTTTTATCACTTTTATTTCTTTACGACTTTCCCTAATTCTGTTTTATGATAAAAATAATAGTTTTATGATGACTGTTAAATGTTATCTCTAACTCAGTTAGTATTTTCAAAACTGTTTGTGGCTACTAAAGGGGAGAGCATATTAAATGTGGAATTGACTCTAAAACTCATGAATATAAAATTAAATTTAGACAGAATAGAAAACTAGTGTTTAATTGAATCAAGGAAAAACACAAAGACAATAATCAAATATAAAAACATAAACATATGACTTAAATAAAATTAATAGTCACATGCTAACTTATATGCAGATCATGAGTGAAAGTCCAACAGCTACATATTAAACTTGTAACTAATCTACAATCTTATTTTATAAGTTAAAATATTTGTTATAGATATTTTATCTTTCTATTGACGAAACCACAAGCATGGTTGTTGTTGTTTGCATATTTTTTTCGTTATGCAAGCCTACTCGGTCTCAAATGATGTCATTGCATGTTCTGTATCTTGTCTTATATTGTTAGATGTGGCTGTTTAAGGCTTACATGTTTTTTAGTTTCCTGTATCTTTTATTGTGTTAAAGGTACTTTATGCAATCTAAATCTTATGAACTAGATAGTGATTTTGCTACCCTCATTGTAACCTAATCAATTTATATATAGGCCCTCCTAAATAATTAGGTCTAGGCCTGGGTCTTTTGATTCTTTGGAAGAGCTTTAAAATATACAAAGAAAATTGGATTGAGCCTGAGATAAACTAATGATTGATATGATTGATATTGTGGTTGTTAACTTTGTAAATGAAAGGACAATAATCTTACTCTGTGATAATCCAAATTTTAGTTTCAGAAAAAAACTTTGCAAGAGTTGTATCGATCTTATAACTAGTTTTGAAGCTGATAAAAAAAAGATGCTCTTTGCCATTACTTCATCATAACCTCCAGTTTTTCATTGTCGTTTGCTGTGAACAGCTGGCAAAACTACACTGTCTTCGTACTGAATGCTTTTATAAGTTTTAGCGAATTTCCCTATAGGGAAGTAGCTATTACCGTAGGTGGCACGGTAAGACCTAGACCTGGGACCGATTTACTTTTTCATTTTGATGTCCCCAGAGGCCAAAAACACCATTCGTTCAAATTTTTATATATGTGTATATATATATATATATATATATATATATATACGTCCGTGAACGCGATAACTTGAGTAATTTTGGTCCGATTTTGATGAAATTTGGTTTAAAGGTGTAAAGCGAGATAAACTTGAATGAGTTCGCGAACCAGCATGATCGGACCATGGGAACGGGGCTTTAGGGGGAGTTTTATGGGGTAAAAATTGGTTTTTCTCACTTTTGACCCTCAAAACACAAAATTTCCCAATTTCTTTTTAGACCTTTTTAAAGACCTTAAAAAAACAAATAATTTAGTATATAAAAGTATTTTTGTTCGATTATTAGTAACGGAGAAAATTTAAAAAATTGTAAATTTAAAATTCCCATGTTATTCTTATGGAGAATATTGTCAAATGTTGTAATTTGCTTGTTTATGGATATATTTTGATCAAACTTGGCAAATTTATTTATTTTGTACTAAGCTATCAATATTTTACTCAAAAACACACTTTATTAGGTTCCTTGTAGCAGCAAACCTAGGTACTCGTTAAACCTAATGTTATTAAAATATATTTAATTGAAAATCAATTCAGACAAATGGAAATTCGCTTAGTCGGCAGGTTTGCTGCGGCGGGGGTGTTTAAATATTAATTTACCAGTTTTGTGAAATTATCTTGTCAATAAATGTTTCAAACATGTTTATTCATAAAAACTCTTATCCTATTTTTAAACCACTTTATGATGGCTATTCAAAGTATCTCAGAGTAAAATAGGTAAAGCCTTTATCTTAACTGTGATTTTTCTTGACACAATCCTCCTAATAGTAAAAGGTTTTGTTTTAATAATGTGTGGTACAGTAATTGTTGTTAGAAAACCATGAATGTAGGA